ACTCTCCATCTTAACTTAGTTATCCATAAATACCATAAATACTAAATTAAATAGATTATTCAATTATAAAGTCACTATTCTCTTTCTTCCTAATTAAATTAATATTCTTGCCATTTTTATTAACTAACAGGCATTTTGACTTTAAATATTATTATGGAAATAAAATACAATCAACATCTGATCCTTTCTTAACAGTGATTTTCTTAGACTTCTTATACTATTTAGTATTACTATCCATCTCAAGTATTTGCATATATTCTTCACAATAACGTTAGAGTGTAAATTAGTTATCATTTATAAAACATAATCTTAATCCATACTAATCTAGTTTTATCTTCTATTTAACGCTCCACTTTTTCTCCAACTATGAGTATTCTATTACTAATATTTATTAATCAGATGAACAAGAAATCAATTTATTTTATTGATCATTTAAACTTAATGAATACACTCTTTCAGTATGTTCCCTTATGGTTTATTAACACTATCATTTTATAATTAAGTTATCATAACCCCCCAGATACTAAATTATTTGTATTCCGCATAAAATTCAAAGTATTAAGATGCTTACCTGGTTGTTTTATCTTAAATCAATGGTTTCATAATTTAATTATAAAGTAAATAATTCATTAAGAATAAGGTTATAGAAAACCTAATAAATCAAAAATAGAATAACTGTGTTGTTTAGAGGATCAAACAAAATAATGACATGAATTAAATATGTTTAAAAGTTAAGATTGAATTCAAACTAGAATTACTCAGAAGCCTAAATAATTCTGATCAGCTTAAACATGTACTGAAACACTCTAACTTAATAGAAGTATTTAAATAATTTGACCATTCTAAATCATCAATTGTCGTACTCTCTTCGCTTTATAAGCTAGATGTTCTTTTTTATTCAGTGAGATGAGTCTAATTGATAATAATATATGTATATGTTTATAATTGATTTGATTGATCCAAGTCCTTTACGGTCCAGCATATCTATTCTCTAAAATGCGTTCCTTTATCTTGAAATAAATTTTTTACATGAAAAAACCATACAATATCATTTTATTTTTCAATTTATTCGTCTTTGTTCTCAATACAAACACTTGTCAACCAACCTAAATTCTTAATTGGGAGTTTGCTTTAATTATTTTTCCCTCTTTTTTAGTTATATTTTAATTTTCATCCTCTGCTAATTAAGAAATAAAAAAAATGAATTTATTTATATAAAATCATTGTTTACATAACACAAGAAATAGAACCAAAATTTTTTCTCAAAAAAATTTACTTCTACACCTTCTTCTAATCTATGTATTTACTAAATGAATTATCAATAGTCTTTTAATATGCAGAAGCTTCAAAACGAAATTTTAAGTGTTCATTAAATTAGGTTTCTCTATTATTGTATTAACAACTTTTTTAATAGAATAATGGTTTGTTAAATTGAAATATATTGATTAATAATAAAATCTCTAATTAAGAACGAATACATGCTTAATCAATCCTTTTGATCTTCCCAACTTTGATTACCCATATAAAAAATTAAGTTTATTTATTATAAGATATTTAAATATATTGACCTATTAAAATTGAATGAATATTTAATATGTTTATTAATTACATTTAATTAAAAATAATGTGTCAATAATCTAATACCAAATCAATTTTTTAATGTATTTGATCTTGAGTGAGTGTTTTACAAAAATATAGCTAATTGATGCAGATTTTGTTAGTCCTATTGTTGACAGTGAAGGTAATTAAAATATAATTATTGTGAGGTTGGCAATTTTGAGATGGGAGTAATTTTTAAATCACAAATTGTGGAGGATCTCTTGTCTTAGGTGGTTATTAAGGATTTAATGATCAAACTGTTATTTTTAAAACATTTGAGCTGCCTTCGCATTATTAAATTATTATCAGATTTGCATTTTGGAGGTTGCTATAAAAATTTAATTTTCTAATAGGATTGATTTATGGGATATTAAGGATGAATTTACTTTATATGTTGATAAGGTTCTAGTTCATAAATATATATACACAAGTATTGTAATTGTGGATCTGGTCAATCGGCTACCGTGATTTAATTTGTTAAAGAGGTGGATCATTTGAGCACTTCAGTAACAATAATAATGACAACTATCAATGGAGGTTATTGGGATGTTACTTAATTTATAGTATATGTTACAAAATACCCTTTGGGGTGCAATTCACGCAATTACAATAATTGTTTCAACTAGGTTTTATTATAGAATTATTTACTAAAAGTTAGTTTGCTATTCAAAATTAGGAAGGATGGTATTTTGATGGTAATTTAATTACTTCATCAAATACTAATTGGTGCGATAATTATTAAAAAAAATGAATTACAATGGTTTGATATCCAATATTCTTCTGGTGATTATCTCACAAAATCGTATAATTTAGAATAACTGCTTTAA